GGGCAACATTCTAGTGTCTAGGACAGCGGTCACCACTGGTGGTCTGTGAGGTCCGAAAGGCTGGTGCTGCTCTAGGAAACCCCTGAGGTTTTCAGCCTTGCACCTATGTTTTCATATTTGTGCAGTGATGCTACAGTTGATGATTACAAGCTAGAGATACCAACATATTCTAAATTTCATCTATGTATTTTATTCACACAGTAGTCAGAGGTGTGCTAGCTAGCATTATCGTCTGTTCCCAGAATTTAATTCTATTCATAGCCCTAAAGGTTTTATCATTGGTTTAATAAGTCAATACTAGGCTAAAGTTGTAAAAGTCTGTGTGTCCTTTTTCTTCACTGATTACACAATAGATCTACCATCAGGAAGAAATAATAATGTTCCATAGTCAAAAAACCTTTAGGAAATGAAATGAGTGCTTTCATATCTTTGATTAAAAACAAAACAAAAAACAATGTGTGCCTATGTCATAGCTAGGGATTATAAAATTAATTAATATTACAGATCAGCAAGAATGAAGGTCCACTAATTCCCGTATCCACTAAACGTTCATGCCCTCCTTTAAGTTTTGCCAGCCATTGACTTCTGTTGAACTAACTCTAACTCTCCAGCCATCCCCTTTGTTACCTATAGCATGAAGTTTTGAAATGACCAAGTGGGTTCAAGGAGCTCTGACTATGAAATTTAACTTTGCATTTGTATGGAGTGCAGACAGATAACGGTGATTTAATCATGTATTTGTTTTAACTAGGCATTTCACAGTAGACAGCCCTATCTTTAATAAAAACAAAATAGGTTTGAGTAGACGTATACTTTTCTAATTTAACAAATTACAGTTTGGAGGTAGACCTTAGCATAGTTTTTTCCTATAATGATTTCTTACCCGAGTAAATTTAGTGCACACATCTTATTGCTCAACACTAAGCTAGTAATGAAACAGAAAAATTGCATGTTTTGTAAAACAGATGTGTTCTAACAATTCTGAGGTGTTTAAACATAAAACTTGAATTAATATTTCGCACAAATTAAGAAATGTGATGATCAGGCTCCTATAACAGACTGATCACCCAAGGGGGTTGGGAAAGATGGAGCAAAATGATTGAAAATAAAATACTATAAACATTAAGGGAAATTATTTTTAAATAATTTAGAATTCTTTTCCAAAATAGATTATGATTAACCTCTTATTTCCATAAAAATTCATAATTTCTCACCAGAACTTAGTCGATAATAAAGTTTTGTTTACTTGTTTCTATGTGAATTGTTCATATAGTCAGTTACTGGGTTTACTGGTTGCAAAATTCTACTTGTTAATTATAAAATTAGTCTACAAGCTTCTGTTTTAATGAGCAACTTTATTTATTTATTTGTTTGTTTGTTTGTTTGTTTGTTTGTTAATACATTTTTATTGATTTCAGAGAGAAAGGGAGAGGGGGAGAGAGAAACATAAGTGATGAGAGAGAATCATTGATCGGCTGCCTCCTGCATGCCCCCCACTGAAGATCAAGCCCGCAATCTAGGCATGTGCCCTTGACTGGAATCAAACATAGGACCCTTTAGTCTCCAGGCCGACATTCTATCCACTGAGCCGAACTGGCTAAGGCAGTGAGCAATTTTAAACTGTCCTTATTTATATAGTTGGATTATGATTACATTTGTATGTCCAGCAGGAAGCAATTATTGGTCCTCAAAATAATTTGGAATTTGCTTTTACAAGTAAAGAAACAATATCTGTTAGCTGATGAAGTATATAAAACATATACTTTTTCTTAAAATTTTTAGAATTTAAGATTTTTCTTTATGATCACAACAGTATACATATAATTAGTTATTAAGAATGTATGTATGCAACTTTTCCACTTGCAAAGCATATATGATCAATGGTAATGCAATTACTAGGTTACTTAACTAACATGAAATATACATATGCTTTTAGTTTCCTAAATATGGCAAATAAACCTGCAACAGCAAGCTCTGGTAGAAAATAGTTTAAAATTAAGTTAGCAATAAATGACATAAATTAAGCAAACCTTTAACTTTGCCAACTTCAGATTTCTTATGTAATTTAGGTTGTCACTAAAGCTTTTATTAAGAACTGGTAAGCCGAAACCGGTTTGGCTCAGTGGATAGAGTGTTGCCCTGCGGACTGAAGGGTCCTGTGTTCGATTCTGGTCAAGGGCATGTACCTTGGTTGTGGGCACATCCCCAGTAGGGGGTGTACAGGAGGCAGCTGGTCGATGATTCTCTCTCATCGATGTTTCTAGCTCTTTGTCCCTCTCTCTTCCTCTCTGTAAAAAATCAATAAAATATAAAAAAATAAAAATTAAAAATAAAAAAAGAACCAGTAAAATATATTTAATAGAATCGTCTGTTGTTTTCTATAAAAAACTTGTTTTCAAATGCGCAATCATGAAATAGTTAAGATTTTTGATCAGTTGTTCTTTTTCCTTTTAAAGCTGTTCGGTAAGATCATTAAAACTGTATTCTCGCCCTAGCCAGTTTGGCTCAATGGGTGGATGTCGACCTGCGAACTGAAAGGTCTCAGGTTCGATTCCAGTCAAGGGCACATGCCTAAGTTGTGGGTTCCATCCCCAATGGGGGACTTGCAGGAGGCAGCCAATCCATGATTCATTCTTATCATGGATATTTCGTCTCTCTCTCTCCCTCTTCCTTTCTCTCTGAAATCAATAAAAATACATATTTTTTAAAAATTGCATTTTCCCCAACCTATGGATGAATTAATCGCTTTATTTTTTCTTAAGATGTTTTCCCCTTTTTATTCTTTCTACTTGAAACTTGTATCATTTCTTATTTCCTATCTTCAGTTTTTATTATATTGGTACTTTTCTAAAGTTAAAGAATAAACAAAATTTAAGAAAAAATTACTAATATTTCCAAATTAAATAATGAGCTTTTAGTATAAATCGTGCTGGGGAAGTTTTTAACCCATAATCCTAAGTGCATTTGCCATCATTTGAAATTGGTGCATTTGTGCATGACTAAATCATAAATATGTTTGTACCTTTTAATTTAGAATGCTACTTATCTTCAAGACATTTCCTCTTTTACTATTTGTAATATAATAATGTTCATTTACTATTCATAATTGCCTATTGAAAGCAACCAAAATGTCCAGCAGTGAGATAATGGTGGGTAAGCAAATTATGATCTAGAGAATAAGATAAATATTAATGTAATCATTCATTAATAGCATTATTTTAGGCGGGGCTGGTGCGGCCAGGCCCGGAGCAGCGGCTGCCAGGCTGGGAGCGGCCAGGCCCGGGGGAGCAGGCGGGGCTGGTGCGGCCAGGCCCGGAGCAGCGGCTGCCAGGCTGGGAGCGGCCAGGCCCGGGGGAGCAGGCGGGGCTGGTGCGGCCAGGCCCGGAGCAGCGGCTGCCAGGCTGGGAGCGGCCAGGCCCGGGGGAGCAGGCGGGGCTGGAGCGGCCAGGCCCGGAGCAGCGGCTGCCAGGCTGGGAGCGGCCAGGCCCGGGGGAGCAGGCGGGGCTGCTGCGGCCAGGCCCGGAGCAGCGGCTGCCAGGCTGGGAGCGGCCAGGCCCGGGGGAGCAGGCGGGGCTGGTGCGGCCAGGCCCGGAGCAGCGGCTGCCAGGCTGGGAGAGGCCAGGCCCGGGGGAGCAGGCGGGGCTGGTGCGGCCAGGCCCGGAGCAGCGGCTGCCAGGCTGGGAGAGGCCAGGCCCGGGGGAGCAGGCGGGTCGGGTGCGGCCAGGCCCGGAGCAGCGGCTGCCAGGCTGGGAGCGGCCAGGCCCGGGGGAGCAGGCGGGTCGGGTGCGGCCAGGCCCGGAGCAGCGGCTGCCAGGCTGGGAGCGGCCAGGCCCGGGGGAGCAGGCGGATCGGGTGCGGCCAGGCCCGGAGCAGCGGCTGCCAGGCTGGGAGCGGCCAGGCCCTAGGGAGCAGGCGGGTCGGGTGCGGCCAGGCCCGGAGCAGCGGCTGCCAGGCTGGGAGCGGCCAGGCCCGGGGGAGCAGCCGGGTCGGGTGCGGCCAGGCCCGGAGCAGCGGCGGCCAGGCTGGGAGCGGCCAGGCCCGGAGCAGCAGCAGCCAAGTCCAGATCAACTAGGTTGGGAGCGGCAGTGACCAGACCCGGAGCAGCTGGTTGTGGAATGAACCAGAGCAACAGAGGTCAGGCCCTGAGCAGCCAGGCCCAGAACAGCTCGCTCCTTGCCTGCCCCTGCCCCACGGCTGCTTCTCAGACATGGATGGAAACTTTCGTGGGAACTTGAGTGTCTGCTGAATCAAGTGATGAAGGCTTAGATCTGGATGTGTTGAGTTAGTTTAGGATTGGGGTGTTGATCTGTGAGTGCCTTGGGTGGGGCCTGGATGAGGCTGGTTGACCTAGTGGGAAATGTCTTTTGTGTGAAGTGTATCATTGGGCATGTGGAGGTATTATTGATATGAGAAAATGCTAAGTAACTGATTTACTATCTGAAAAGGGATTTACTATTGGGGAAATTGAGGGAAGAAGAGACTGAACATAAACTGCACCTATGGATGAGGACAATGGGGGATGGGGGGGACGGAGGGTGGGGTGGGAACCTGGTGGAGGGGGGAAGAAATGAGGAACCTTTGTAATAATATGAACAATAAAGATTGCTAAAAAAAAAAAATAAATAAATAAAAAAAAATAGCATTATTTTAAAGACTATGTAAAACCATGACAGGGCCAAAATTTTAAATTACGTATACTTTAAGTACATTTTATGAAGATATATTTGCATAGTGACAATCTGAAGAATATGCAAACATAAAAGTAGTTAAGTTTTAAAGTACTAGTGTTGGGTTTTTTTGTCTTTGTTTTCTCAATTCCCTTCACTGTTGTATTAACAGTGAAAAAGTTTTTTTTAATGTCTTGGGCTTACAAAAAGCCAACACTACGCTGAAGGCCTAACAAAAATTTTCATATAAATTTATATTTACCCCGTAGAGAACATAATTAAGAATACTGGAGCTAACCAAGGTGTGGGTACTTTGGGATTTTGTTTTAACAGGTACTAGTCAGTGGCCTAGACCTGGAGGGCAAGCTCCTTCATCTCCGAGCTATGAAAACTCACTCCACTCCCTGGTAAGAGCCTCTTAGAAACATACAGGTCGCTTTTATCTGATAGTATGCAGGGTGTTGTTTTTTGGGGGTTTTTTTTTTTTTTTTTTTTTTTTTTTTTAGTAAATCTTGAGTAACAATGGGGGGAAAAAACAGTAGGATAGCATTACACACAAATTCTTTGCTAACAAATGGCCTGATTTAATTGAAGACTATAAGATACATTGGGTGTGCCTTTGCCATCTGTTCTTTGAGACATTAGGCTTCTGGTCTAAGGACAGCTGGTGTTAAAATAGTGTAATGGCATTTTTGTTTCTTTGAAAAATATAGGACTTAATTCTTCTATACTTTTTCATTTATGGATAAGAGGAAACTTTACAAAAAAAAAAAAAAAAACAACACAGACCAAGTAAAAGCAAGAAAATTAGTCCAGCAATGGAAAATAGTTGTATTTAATGCTTTCTTATATGATGTATATATAATTTAGTACATTTCCATTAAAAATGTAATAGCCATTATTTTTGTCATGAAGATTATTATTTCCCATGTTTTCTTTCTAAAAAAAATAATGTCTTGTGTAAATTATACAAGTAAAAATGTTATTTAACAAACAAAGCAGTAGAATAAAGGAGCCTGTCTAGATATTTAGCGTGAAGAATTTGTGGTTGAATGTTAACTACTGTTGCTTTTCTTTGCTTACTACAGAATTACAAAATATTATAAAAACAAAATAAGGATGACTTGATGGAATGCAAATAGAAAAGTTATTTTTCTGTGACTAATAGAATACTTTAAAGGAAAGTCTTCTTCTCGAATATTTTGAATCACATATAAGCATTTGTGCTATTTAGATGCTAACCTTATAACTTTGCTATTAAATTCCAGCCTTCTCATACCTTAATACAAGTAGATCTCACAGGTCTCCGCGTTAACTTTACTAACATGTTATGCTGACATGCACATCAGCTATTTCCTCATCTCTTTTGGAGTTAATCTTAACCTGTGCTTTGCCTCCTGTTCTGTCTTGACTTTGCCAGAAAAATCGAGTTGAGCAGCAACTTCACGAGCATTTGCAAGATGCAATGTCCTTCTTAAAGGATGTCTGTGAGGTACTATTTCTTTTAGATGGTGCCTTTTTTTCTGTTTCAGTTCATTATAATTCCTATTATCCATTTAAAATCTTCAAGCCTGTACAGACGCCAAAGTCTTTTAAAACCAAACAATGACCATTTCAGTTTTTGTAACAGTGTGTAAGAATAGACTTTTGTTTGCTTATGTTGTTGAGAATGATTCTTTATAAAAGAGCTCTACTAGCATGTGCTTTTGATTTTAAAAATTCTAATATATTTGTGTATGGGCATGTATGTATCCACAGACAGTCTATCATTTCCTCAGTTTTATAAAAGAGAATATTTGGATATGTTTACTATTTCAGATAGGTATGCTTTATTGACTTAAAATCACAACTGAAACAATGGATTGGAGAATGTGTCCCCAAATTGCCTTCATTTCAAAGATCAGCATTAAAGTACCCGTTATCTTTTTTATCAGCTATAATTATCAGACAGTAGTACAGTAGCATTCATCTTTTATAGAAATTAAAGAAGTAACTTCATGGTAGATTGGTAAATTGATTTTAGGAAGCAGTCATTTGTTTCTGAAGCTTTGTTAATTTAGCATAGTCTACTTTCTTTGATTATTGATTTGTAGTGCAAGTTTCACTTGCTGTCTTCCATATATCCCCAAGTAGGAAACATAGAAGTTTTAATGAATTTATTAGTTACCAGTGGTAACCTCCATGTCTTTTTTCAATCACTCCAGCAATCTCGAATGGAGGATCGTTTAGACAGGCTGGATGATGCTATCCACGTGCTGCGGAACCATGCTGTGGGACCTTCCACCAATTTGCCTGCTGGTCACAGTGATATACACAGTTTATTGGGACCATCCCACAATGCACCAATTGGAAGCCTCAATTCAAACTTTGGTGGATCAAGCCTTGTTACAAGCAGTCGATCTGCTTCAATGGTAAAATAGTGCTAATTTTTTTTTTAATAATAACTCCCAAAGCCTATTGTCCTAAATATTTTTGGGGGAGAGAGGCCTTTTTTTTTTAAGGGAAATAGAGTGGCTTTTAAGAATTTCCTTTACTGTCCTGGGCAGGGTTATTGGCTGAGCATTGGCCTTAAAATCCTGCTATGATCATGTGCAAAAAGCAGAAACTTTCTACAGAGATCATTTTAGCTTAAACTTGGATTTTTTTTTCCCCAGATACATATTATTGGCAGAAAATTTTTGCCTTGAAATGGTGTGTAAAAACTCTGAATAGCAAAAGCAGTAAAGCAAGACTGGATTTCAGGGGTTCTGGTCTAGAAAATCTGTTTATTATAGTTTGGAACCAGCCTTTACTAGCAGAAGGAATGTGTAATTATTTGTACAGGTCCATATTCAAGCTTTATTCCCAAATGAAGAAAAAGTGTGGGGGAAGTTTTAAGAATGGCTATAATTTAAGTGACACTGAAAGGAAACAATTTTAGATTAATCCCCAAAGAGAATAAAATAATTCATTTCATCTTTTTTTAAATGTAATTCTTTAGAAGGAAAAAAGTAAAATTCTATAGCTATGCACATCACAAATTTTATTTTGAATGTCTTACACTATTTTTTGAACCTGCTATTTAACTGAAACCATGTGTATATGACATGGTTTCTAGAATTCATTGCATGGTGTGAAATACTCTCCTATGAAACAGATTTCTAGCTGAAAGCCATATGATCAAGGCTGAAATTCACCTATCATTAAAATAATTAGGTGCCCCAAATGCTGAAGGCTTGTGTTCTGTAAAATAGGATTGGTTGCAGATTTTCATATTTACGTGTCAGATAGTCATCAACGTTCATTTTGGAGCTGCTGAGGTAAATGTCAAACAAGGCAGCCTGATTTCCTGAGAACTGTTTTCAGTAACATGGTGACATTAGATATAACTTTATATCTTAACAAACAGATTTTTGTGGGGATTTTTTTTTTTGGGGGGGTGGCAATGTCAAGATATCTTGAAATTCACTCTCCTTTAAAGTTAGTTTTGCTGCTATTGATAAGACAATACATGTGTGAATAGGTTGTGAGACTCATAGAAATATTTATTTTATTGAAATACTATTTATCCTTATTAAGGATTTATACTTATCCTTAATAAGTAAGTATATTCTAATCCCAACTTTATCTGTACTGCAACATTTGCAGTTTTTACTTTTCTCACCTCTTAATCATTTTTTTAATTATTGTATATAGATTACTCTTTATATTCCAGTTTATCTGCTATAATATTTAATACTAGAGGCCTGGTGCATGAAATTCATGCACGAGGGGGCGTGTTCCTCTTCAATCTGGGACTCCTTGATCCTATTGGGATTGGGTCTAAACGGGCAGTCGGACATCCCTCTCACAATCCAGGACTGCTGACTCCCAACTGCTCACCTGTCTGCCAGCCTGATCTCCCTCAACCACTCCCCTGCCAGCCTGATTGGTGCCTAATTGCTCCCCTTCCAGTCTGTTTGCCCCTTACTGCCCTCCCCTGCAGGCCTGGTCACCCCTAACTGCCCTCCTCTGCAGGCCTGGGCCCCCCCCCCCAACTGCCCTCCCCTGCAGGCCATCTTGTGTCCACATGGGGGTAGCCATCTAGTGTGTTGGAGTTTTGGTCAATTTGCATATTACTCTTCTATTAGATAGGATAGAGGCCTGGTGCATGGGTGGGGGTCAGCTGATTTGCCCTGAAAGGTGTCCCGGATCAGGTGGAGGGTTCCCTTGAGGCATGGGGCAGCCTGGGCGAGGAGCCTATGGTGGTTTGCAGGCCAGTCACACCCCCTGGCAACCCGAGTGGAGGCCCTGGTATCTGGCATTTATTTACCTTCTATAATTGAAACTTTGTAGCCTTAACCAGAGGCCAAGGCAGGCCAGGGCTATAGAAGCTTGGCTTCCTCTATCACTGGGGGCAACTCAAGTCTTCTGCTCTCTCCAGCTCCGTGGCTGCCACCAGTTCATATACTTTTCCTATGTATGATCATAAGTTAGTATTTGTTTTAGGCTCCTAAAAATGGAGGTCATATGGTCAGAATTACAAAGTAACCACAGAAATATCAGTTTATCAGTAATTCTATATCACCTATAGAATTTGTGAGGTTGCCACTCAAAAATATTTACTTTTCATCATTCTATTTGTTTTCTTGCAGAGATAGAATTATTCTAATAAGCATAAATACTATTTCAGTAATTCCACAGAACATTCAGATAATATTTTTGTTGTAGTGGATTTTGTCCTAATGGGCATTTATTGTAAATCACCATCCTAATTGCAAGCTTTAAATATGATATTGCTTTTTTCTTAGAATTTAGAAGGTCAGCATACTTTCCCTATAAAACAGTAAATATTTTCAGTTTTGTGAAATATTAAGCTATGTGATCTCTGTTACAGCTATTTAACTCTGACTTTGTAAAGTGAAAGTGAAGACATAGATATTATGAAAACAAATGGGTGTGACTGTGTTTCAGTAAAACTTTATTTACAAAGAAGCGTTCCTTTATTTATTTTAAAAAAAAAAAAAAGGCAGACCAGACTTGACATACTGCCCATATCTTCCCAATACCCAATGTAGAACATAAATTATCTTCCCAGTACAGGAAATCAGGGTTAGCAAGCTTTTTTTTAACTTACCTTTTTTTTTTTTTTGAGCCTGAAATTTTTTGCTTATATTGTTTTATTTTATTTTTTTTAACATGTCTCTATTGATTTTAGATATAGAGGGAGGGAGGGAAGGAGGGAGGAAGGAAGGAAGGGAGGGAGAGAGAAAACAACATCGATTGGTTGCATCCTGTACATGCCTTTACGAGGGACTGAAGCCACAACCTGGACATGTGCCCTGACCAGGAATCGAACTGGTGACTTCCTGATTCATAGGTCGACATTCAACCACTGAGCAATACTCACCAGGCTGCTTATATTGTTTTAATGAGTAGTTGGGAGTTGTACGGAAGCAGAATATTTGAGGTGAGCCAGCATGTACTGGGAGTGGAAGAATAAGAGTTGGTGACAGGATAAATGTGGTAGAGGTTACTCAGTTCCCAACCTGCAATGCTATCAAGATCACTTGTGATGTAGCCTTGGCTGGGTGGCTCAGTTGGTTGGAGTGTCATCCCATACACTAAAGGTTGCATGTTTGATTCCCTGTTGGGGCACATACTTAGGTTTTGCTTTCAGTGCTCAGTCAGGTCATGTGTAGAAGGCTACAAACCATGTTTCTCCCTCACAGACTAAAATAAAATTAAAAATGTAAAAAAAAAAAAAAAAAAAGATTACTTGTGATGTTAGAACTACATGGTGGACAGGTCAACCAGAATAGTGTCCTTGGTCAAGAACATAGCCTTGTTGCTGAGACCCTTTCTTTACATTGTCTTTAGTTATAACAAGGTTGTGTCAGTAAGGTCATCCACAGCTGATAGTATTGATTTGTAGATCAGTCTTACTGTATTTTTTAATTTAAAAAAAATTAATGTTGACATTATTGCAAGTGTCCTCCTTTTTACCCCATTTTGCCTACCTCCACCCAACCTGGCCTCCCCCTCCCTTGGCCTTCACCAAACTATTATCCATCTTATAGAAGAGATAATTGTCCGCTTTTTTTTAGTTGTTCCAGAAAAAGATTTTTATGTTTCATACCAAGGAGATGAGAAGACTATCTGACAAAAATATATATTAATAGGACTCAATGTCAAAAGACTTCATTTTGACTGTTGTTTCTTTTAACTGAATAGACTTGATTATATCGAAGTTGAGAATTAAGTGAGGTTTCAACTACAGACAGCTTTTTAACATACTTTGGCTATCTAATATACACACAAAATTGAATTTCCTGAAAGACTATTATATTGGAAAAAGAAACTTTAAAAAAAGGATATATTTAGAGTAACCAGCCTGGCATAGTTTTAATATTTGCTCTTATTTTTTAATGTGGTTAACATTTTCATTTACTTAATTTTCTATTCTCTTTATTTTTTATTCTCCATATTTGTTTAATGCAAGTATAAAACTTAAGAGTGACTTCTTCAGGCACTCTTATTGGGATGTGATTGATATATCATTTAAGTTTTAAGGCACAAAATCAGGGTTTTTAGAACTATTAAAAATGTCCACATTGGACTATAGTTTTGCTCCCATTTATGTAGTATAAGAATAAACTCTTGGAATAAACTACTGACAGAAAACAATGATTGTATGAAGTAGAAAACTAAAAAGGAGTAGAATCACTAATTTCATTTGGGCATTACAAAGAGGTTTCCACAATATATAGTTATTATACATCACATCTGTTATGGCTGTAATATCTAAAATACTGGGGCCCATTGAGATAGATCCATTATAGCATTGTATCTTTCACACAAAGTACTCAGTTATTCCTCAATGATTTCAACTTCAAACTAAGTTAGATTAGGAGCTTTTTGTATTAATGGAATCTTGGTGCAAATCTTAAAAAGTTCCTTATTTATGACATTGGATAAAATTCCATCCATGAGGTCTTTTGATTTTTATTTTACAAGTCATGGGGAAATTTAATCCAAGCATTTCTTTTTTTTTCCTTTCCTTTTTTTTTTGTTTTTTTTTCCTTATTGCTTGGGGTTTTTGTTGTTTAAGCTGTGGTTGGAGAGATCTGTGGTATTTTTCTTCTCTTTTTTTTTTTAAATAGCTTTGAGTTTGTTGTTTAAGCTGTGGTTGGAGATCTGTGGTATTTGTTTTCTGAGAACAAAATAAATAACATTAACTCATGAAATTTAAAGCTACTTTATATGATTTAAAAATATAAATCATGTCTGTTTTTCAAATCCTAATGCAGTTAGAGAGACTGTTTTTTCTAAATTCTAAGATATTTCAGATTAAATTGTTAAAGACTAAAGCAAATAAGATATTTTGTTTAAAATTAGCATTTTTCTCACTAATCAAAATAAATATGGAGTCATTTTAACTTTATATTTAAATAGTATTTAGTCTAATTGGTATAAATTTATATACTGTAAGAACTGTTTGAAGGAGTTTATTTTTAACTGTATTTTACTTGTTCTTACCTATTTTTTCTCAAATGTGCAATTTAAAAAAATACTTTTATTAAGAGCACATTAAAGTGTTTAAGGATTTTGATACAGTTTTTAAATTTAAAATTGTTCAAAATGGCAGCATTTCTTTAAAGTTTAAAAATCTTACAGGTTCTGTATTACGGAAATATCACTAAAAGGAACCATAGCAAGTGGAATTCTGCTATTTCTAGCATAAATCCCCTCTTTAGGTAAAACAAAATGTATATAATATATAAAGATCCTTTCATCAGTCTGTAGATTAGTACTGATTAATTTAAATGATTAGTGTTCAGTGAACAGTACAAATTATTATAATAGAATTCAGAATCAGGGGGGAATTCATTCATTCTGAGTTCTCTTTCAGTCTGTTCCTTAATTCACAAGACCCCTTATTCATCAACTAATTAGATTTAACATTTTTTCATCATGGGTGCTAAAGCCTTTGGCCAAATGAAATGAAAACAGGTTTCTTGAAGGGTACTTCCACCAAAGTAAGGCCAGGCAGATTGTGAAGATTGAGAATGCAGGAAGATGTTATTTAATGGGATGGGCCTTTTATTCTGACATGGAGTTCTTCAGAATAATTGAAACTTTGAGCATAGCAGGCCTAAGGGTTTGCTTTCCCCTGCTACTTTCCCTATAAGCAGTCTGTCAGCTGTATGCTAACGAGATGAACAATTAAACAGGATCCTATCTGGCTGGCCTCACAGCTCTGGGCCAGACAAAGAACTGTTTATACACCTGTTGTATGTGTGTAGACAGTCATATGAATGGGTAACTGCAGATTAAAGGGAGGATATGGGAGCCAAGGTGAGCAAGGGTTAAAGACAACTATAAGAACTGTAAAAGTCAAATTCTCCAGAAAATATATGAGGGCCATTTGTAAAGGGAATCAAGTTACAAAGAAAAAGTTCCTGGTAACTTCATTAACATGAAAAACTGCAGACTTCACATGTTTTGTTAGTCTGAGGCCAATTTTTAAAGCTTTGATATTTTTTTTTTCTTTTGGAAGCTAATGATGTAGATTGGTATGGAAAAAATAGTTTATAGTACTCCATAGAGACAAAAATATTTGCTGGCATTTATTCCCAAAACAAATCAAGCAACCTTTCTGGTTTTCCTTCAGGGAAAAGCAAATTCACTAAGATTTATTGTTTAGATACTGATCCTTTGTCAGCCAAACCTTTCATCAGAAAGGAGGAGATAGAGCATTTTATTAGTAGAGATTCAGAAAATCAAAGAATTACTATCATAATTAAATAAAAAGAAATAATAATTTAGCAGATGCATCATCACTCAAATGAGTGAAAATTTTGTTTTTAACTGTCCAGTCATTACTGTCTTAAAGAGCTATTAAATGAATTCCCCATATAGTAAATTTACGTTTAAATTTTTTAATTTTTAATGGTTAATTTAAAGTACTTGGCATGATAGCTCAAAACACTAAGAGCAGAATTAACAAATATCATCAAAGACCACAGAAAGTTTTGTTTTAAGATTATTATAAGAGCCAGGACCGGTTTGGCTCAGTGGATAGAGCGTCGGCCTGCGGACTGAAAGGTCCCAGGTTCGATTCTGGTCAAGGGCATGTACCTTGGTTGCGGGCACATCCCCGGTAGGGGGTGTGCCAGAGGCAGCTGGTCGATGTTTCTCTCTCATCGATGTTTCTGACTCTCTGTCCCTCTTAATTCCTCTCTATGTAAAATCAATAAAATATATTTTTTTAAAAAAAAGATTATTATAAGAATAAGGAAATATTAGCTTTTTACTTTATCCTGCAATAATTTCTTCTGCCAGTCAAATTGTTTTAGTGATATTTTATCTTTAGAATAGGCTTTAAAGTCCCAAAGAATATGCTGTTATATATTGTATTTATACCATAACTCTTTTTATAAAATGGGATTATTGAACTGACCTTCCTCTTAGATCATTGAGCAATTAGTGCATAGCTAGCAAGACAGCATCCTATGTGCTAAGAATAAACATGACTAGGATACCCTAGAGACAGAATATCATGAAATATTTTGAGAATAATTTTTCTCTCTTGAATATAATTTTCACAACCCTCTTTTGCACTGATTGTTAGGTTTAGTTCTTCAGATTTTTCTCAGGTATTTTTTGTTGTTGTTGTTGTTGCTGCTGCTATTATTGTTTTTGAGGGGGTTGGGTGGGATCTAAAGGCTGGGGGAAGGTTTTGAAAGGGGATAAAGTAGTTTCTGTTGTCCCTTCCCAACTTTAAGATTTTATTGTTCTAATGCATGATGAAATTGTGTGGTTTAGAAAAAGAATAGAGTCATGCTTGATCACCTAAGAGAGTAGTGATACAACTAATCCTCAATAATAACTAATCTTCAAGTAATTTTAAAAGTAGTATGAAATACATTAAATGGGTTTTTTTAAACTACATTAAAGATAAGAATAAGGATATAGGTAGAAGACAGACAATTTTTTAAAAGAGTGGTGGAAGACCTGATATAGTTAGGTCCACTATCCAAGTGGTCTGCGTTGCCTAAAACTTTGCTTTGATTTCTTTTGTTTAGCTCATAAGAAAACAAAGGGATATATTTATATCTCTTAGGGTATAAATCCACACAAAGTCATCCTATCTAATAAAAGGGTAATATGCAAATTAACTGTCACTCCGTCACAAAGATGGCAGCACCCATAGCCACAAGATGGCAGTGCCTAGTCCTCTCAGCCCTGCCAGAGTCCCCCAGTCCCAGGGTGGCGGCCTCTGAGAGCAGGCAGTGTGAGCGGCATGGCGGAATGCTTGCTTTGTCGCTGCAGCAACGAGGCAAGCGTTCCACTCCTAGCTGCAGAAGGGCCTCTGGCCAGGCTGGGGTGCAGAACACTGCTTTGTCACCCTGGCAACGAGGCAAGCATTCCATGCCTGGCCACAGATTGGCTTCTGGGCCATGGAGAGCCTCTGGGCAGCAGGCGTGGAGTGGCCAGGCCCTGCAGAGCTACTGGCACACAGATTTGTGTGCAGGGTTACTAATTAAAGATATAAAGCTATAATTTATTACTCGAGGAATTCAGAGTTCGGCAATTGACTGGGATTGAAGGATTTGTTGAAAACAGTGGTTAATTGTGACTTGTATAAATTTGGATAAAACAGGGAATAAAAATATATGGCATTTTTGTATTGTCTTTTGCTCTTTAAAAATGTTTGAGGCCAGGTATTTAGACAAAGAAAAAACAAGACACTTTCTGTTTGTGTGAGGAAAGGGCATGCCAGAGTGAAAATAAATATTATTATTATTTGGAATCTAGCAATATTTTCTTAAATGCAAACCATGCACCCTTTACAGGGTGAGGCAATGTAGGTTTACAGTTGTTTGTGTGGAAAATAATACAATAATCCTATATAATAAAAGCCTAATCAAAGCCATTCAGCCAATCAAAGCATAACATGCTAATGATATGCTAAGGCTGTTCAACTGCTCACTATGACATGTACTGACCACCAAGGGGCAGATAGTTGACCCATTGACCAGTCACTATGACGTGCACTGATCACTAGAGGACAGATGCTCCCACCGGTAGGTTAGCTTGCTGATGGTGTTTGGCCAATCGGGACTGAGCAAGATGGGCCAGACATGCCCTGGAGCCCTTCCACAGTCCCATCCCAGTTGGGCAACCTCCCGCATCCCACCCTGACCCAAATCATGCACCGGTAGGGTCTCTCGGCCTGTCCTGCACCCTCTTGTAATCCGGGAACACTCGGGGGATGTCAGAGAGCTGGTTTCAGCCCAATCCCACAGGCCAGGCCGAGGAACCCTACTGGTGCATGAATTCGTGCACCAGGTCTCTAGTTAATAAATAAATAAGAATAAACTGTGTTTTACATGCTAACAACTATAAGCCTATCTTTGCTCCACCCAGTATTTAGATAGCATTTGGATAAGGTTTTCAGATCAGTTTAGAGGGATTATTGACAGGTCTGATTATGTGTAGTGTTTTATGGCTTCCAGAGTACTCTGTCTCTATAATCCTGTGGGATGTTAAAGGTTGCAATTTTTTAATGAAACTTTTAAAATAAATTTAAACGATCAAGTCATTTGAAATCCACAATCCAGAAAAGTTGCTTAATTCAGATGAGTCCTATTGCTGTCCCTAATAAACCCACTGAAAGAATTTAAACAATTATTGCCCCTGAACTGTCTTGACTTCTTTTTTTAACTTTAGGTTGGAACTCATCGAGAAGACTCTGTCAGTCTCAATGGCAATCATTCAGTCCTGTCTAGTACAGTCACTGCTTCAAGCACAGATTTGAACCATAAAACACAAGAAAATTATAGAGGTATTGTTTGTTTTTCGTAATAATACAGACAGAGATTGATTGCATTCGAGCAGTCACCTTTCTCCCAGGCGGATTCATATCTGTGACTCAAAAGTCATCTTCAGTGGGAGAATTCCAAACAGTAGTGCTACTGAAGGTTTCATTCAGCCCATTTGGCTGGGTAAATTACAGAATTTATGGGTAGAACCATTTACAAAGTGTTCTTCAGTTTTTACCTGTCATTTTCTTACCTGCTCTTGCTTCTGTGTGTCTGTCTTCTTTAATCACTTCCCCTCATGACTGAGTCTTCATGGTCCCTTGAGGCACTGGGAATGATATATCTGAGTATGTAGAGAGCTCTGAATGAGAGGAGCTGTTGTTTAGAAATAGTTCAGTTGTAGGAATAGCTCTGTTAAAAAGCAAACTAATAAATGTTGTAATAGAGCTTATAAATAAGTACAAATATATAGCTAATATTAAGGATACTGAAGTAAAGTTCTCCCGGTTTTATTTAACCTGACACCTATTTTATTGTGTTTATCCAGGAAAGTGTTAATATTTCCTTTTCCTTGGCAGAATCTTAGAAGTCAGTGTCTAAAACTCCATCAAGTTTATCATAACCTTGTTCGTTTGTTAAATAGTGCCTAAAAGTTATCATCATACGGACCATCAAGGCCAGGCTTGTTCTTCTAAACACAGATGCTTTAAAAAAAAAAAAAAATGTTTTATCTTAAGATTTGTGGGCATGCTCTTCCCAGCTCTAAATAGTATATTTCCCTACATCTTCATATTTCCCTCCTAGCCCTCTGACCGCTAAGAGTATTTACCATCTCAATAGTGTTTTACTGACTTAGTTTTAATTCATGCGTCTGGATGTTTATTTTGTTTCTTTGACTCTTTGTTAGGTGGCTTGCAAAGTCAGTCTGGAACTGTTGTTCCAGCAGAAATCAAGACTGAAAACAAAGAGAAAGATGAAAACCTTCATGAACCTCCTTCATCAGATGACATGAAATCAGATGATGAATCCTCCCAAAAAGATATCAAGGTTTCATCTAGAGGCAGAACAAGGTATTTATCAACATTCAGATGTTAAATTACACTCATTTGCCATGTGTGAAAGTATTGGGAAATTAAAGGGTATTATGCATTTATTATTAAGTGTCAGCTGTGTTCTAACTGCTATGTTGGGACTTTATGTATATTATATCATTTAATTCTTACAGCATCCCTAGAAGAAAACCATACAAAGCTGATTCAAAAATTATGTTTTCTATTACACCACACTATATTTTTTATTTTACAGAATGTATTTTGTTTTGTTTTTTCCAATCCCCACTAACGGATATGCTTTTGTGTTTGTTTGGTTTTTTAATTTATTTATTTGAGAGAGATTAAAAACAAAACAAAACATTGAGCTGTTGCTTTTTACATGCACCCCAATCTGGGAATCGAATCCACAGCCGGGGCAGGGCCCTGACCAAGAATTGTACAGGATGACACTCCAACCAACCAAGCCATACCTGCCAGGGCTGCCTGTTTTTACAAAAAAGTTTTAATAGAACACTTTCAAACCTTATTCATTTACATACTAGAGGCTGAGTGCAGGAAATTTGTGCACTCGGAGTGGGGGTCCCTTTGAGAGCCCTTGGGGGATGTTTGACTGACTGTTCAGGCCCATTCCCCAGGCCATCCTTAGCAGACATCCTTAGCGCTGCTTCAGAGGCAAGAGAGGCTCCTGTCACCGCCATTGCACTCGTCGACTGTGAGCCCGGTCTCTAGCTGAGCAGCACTCCCCCCTGTGGGAGTGCACTGATCACCAGGAGGTTAGTGTGTGTCATATTGACTGGTCATTCTGCCATTCTGTCTATTTGCATATTAGCCTTTTATTATATAGGATTGTCTATGGTTGCTTTTGCATGGAAGTAATAGCAGTTTTGAGTCACTGGCAAAAGAAAGTCATGGCCCACAAAGCTGAAAATATTTACTAACTGGCCCTTTATAAAAAAAAGTTTGCCGACTCCTGGTTTAAACATTGATTTGAGAAGAGTATAGAGAAGAAAATATTCTAAATAGGCTGATGTTGAGGAAGGTTTTCCAGAAATTTGACTTGACCCTGCTTTGAAGTATGGATATTGACACATAATATGTTAGTTTGAAATGATTTTCAGATTCTTTCCTCAGATTTTTTTTACAGTTATATATTAAAACTAGATGACTTAGTATATTTGTGGCCCATCCTATTTCTTGTTATATATTCACTTATAAATATGTATATATCACATATATATGAACTATAAACATTGTTCTTTGTATTAAATTATGGCACAAAGGAGATTACAGTAAGTGTGATAGATATAAAAAGCCAGCATGGTCCTTCCTCTATTCAAATACTTAAAAAGATGTCCTTTTGCCTTTGACATTCTCACTGTTTTCAGCACTTTAACATTTTTCTTGGAAAAAATTAAATCTTAAGATACTAATGCTAATATTTTAGTATGCATTGTACTCACTTGTGTAGAGACATGAAGAAGTGAAGACTGGATCATGGAATCTATAGACCGCTCCTTTGAGGCATCTTACTTCTTCCACAGTTTTATTATTCAAATAGAATTTTAAAGGGAAAAGTTATATGTTTCCTCTTCATCTTATAGATCAGAGGTTTGAAATTTTTCTGTGTAAATGGCCAGGTAAATCAATATGTTCAGCTTTGTGGGCCCTATGTCACAACTGCTCAACTCTGCCATTGAAATAGAAGAGCAGCTATAGACAATACATCAACAAATGGGCTGGCTCTTCCAATAAAATTTTATTTACAAAAATAGATAGCCAGCTGCTGGGCCATAGTTTACTGAAGCCAGTTATAGGTCATCAGAAATTGAGAGGCAGTAAAATAGGTTAATAACAACAATATTTAGTAATTAACAATATGTCCTTCACACAAAGGCTAGCCTGGGTTTTCCTCATGGCTCCATCATATACTTGCCAAGTAACCTTGGGCAAGTCATCCAAAGTCTCTGAGATAGAATCCTTGTGGGAATAAACTGGAAATGATGCACATAAAGCCCTTTACACACTGTTTCACATGCAGTAAACACTCATTAAATATAATAGAGTTACTGTTATGATGATGGTAATGTTAGGTGTGTGGTATAGCTTTGCTTCCATTGAGCACTGACCTGGGTTCTTGTCATCATACTGCCACTAATTGGTTTTGCGATCCTAGGGAGATAACTGATTTCTATGGATCTTGCTGTGGTTTTCAATCCTGCTGCACAGGCTCCAGAAACATGTTAGAAGTACAAGCTCACTAAATCAGCATGTGGTAGTGGACCTATTTTTTTTTTTTTTAAGTGTTCCTAAAGATTCCAATAAATGGCCACATTTGGAAATCTTTGGGGTAGATGATCTGTCAAGGTCCCTTTGCAGTCTAAGCTAGTGATTGTCTATTAAAAGAAGAATACTTTTATGAAGAATACTTTTATGTAATTCTTGACAATTAGTATATAGGAATCTATTGTGTACTTCTTTATTACAGTACTCAGCATATTAGAAAAGAGGGGAAACATCTGTTCTTTGTGCACATCATCTTAAGGATCTGAGAGTCTCTGCTCAATAATTTATTTCTGAAATATAAGTAGAATTTTCTAGAATTTATTCCAAAGCATCTCCCTTGCATGTTTTTTCTGATATCTTAATGCATTTTTATTACAGAAATTTGGAAAATACAGAACAGTGTACAAAAAAATCACAATAAACTCTACCACCCAGAGTCAACTACTGTCTACTTTTCAAGGAATATCTCTTTATCCATAAACATAGTTTAAACTTGAATTAAACTGGAAGTAATTTTTATAATGTCAACTTTTTTTTCATTTAACATTTTTAACTTTTTCATCTATTCCTAAATGTTTCCTGCAAAATGGAAGAATATTTCTACCACCCCCAACAGTTTCCACATGGGCCTTTGAGTCAGCACCCTCTCCCATCCCCTAACAACCTCTGATCTGCTTTCCATTACCATAGTTTTTTCCTGGAAGTTCATGTAAATAGACTCATACAGAATGTAGTCTTCTGTGTCTGGCAGCTCTTACTGAATGAATCTGCAGCTTGATTTTTTTTTTTTTTTTTTTTTTTTTAGAGGATGCATAGTAGGCCACTGTCTGGATGTATGGGATTTATCCACAAACCTCCTATTATTGGCCTCCAGTGTGTCACTGATGTCATAGATAGTTCTGTGATCAACTTACTTTACATAAATTTCTTTGTACATCTCCAATTGTATCCATAGGATGAATTTCTAAAGTTAGAATTAGTGATTAAGAGGTAATGAATATTTTAAGGCTTTGAATTTTTATTTTGCCAATTTGTCCCTCAAAAATATTGTTTCAGTTCCCCATGTTTTTAAAAAATTTTTATCCTCACCTGAGAATATGTTTACTGATGTGAGAGAGAAGTATTGATCAGTTGCCTCCTGTATGTGTCCTGATTAGGAATTGGACTGATGCTTCAACCTACTGAGCCATCCAGCCAGGGCCAGTTCACCCATATTTTTAATTATCACTACTGATGATATTTCCCTCTGGAATAAAAAATAGTGATTTTCTGAGATACTTCTTGCACTCTATGCTTCAAGCTTTTTTCTGTTTACCAGATGACTGCCAGCATATATTTAAGAGTAAAGGTTTGGCTCAGTGGTAGAGCATCAGTCTGCAGACTGAAGGGTCCTGGGTTCGATTCCGGTCAAGGGCATGTACCTTGGTTGCGGTCATATCCCCGCTAGGGGGTGTGTAAGAGGCAGCTGGTCTATGTTTCTCTTCCTCTTTGTGAAAATCAATAAAATGTATTAAAAAAAAAAAAAAAAAGAGAGAGAGAGAGAGAGAGAGAGAGTATAGGTTAGCCGAAACCGGTTTGGCTCAGTGGATAGAGCATCGATCTGCGGACTGAAAGGTCCCAGGTTCGATTCCAGTCAAGGGCATGTACCTTGGTTGTGGGCACATCCCCAGTAGGGGGTGTGCAAGAGGCAGCTGATCGATGATTCTCTCTCATCGATGTTTCTACCTCTCTATCTCTCTTCCTCTCTGTAAAAAAACAATAAAATATATATATTTTTTAAAAAGTATAGGTTATACAAATCAATGTACTGGTGTATGAGGACAGTGCTTCCCACATTTTAAAGTACATATAAATCAACTTGGGATTCTGCTAAAATGCAGATTTCTGTGTTGTTAACAAGCTCCAGTAATGCTCATGCTGCTGACCACATTTTGAGTGGCAAGAGTGCCTAGAATATTATGTAGTCATTCCAATTATATTTATGAAGAGTTTCATTAGCATAGAGAAGTCTTCACACTGTACTATGCAATGGAAATGCATTTTTTAATGTCCAGCATGGGGCAAAATAGATTTACAGTTGTTTGCATGGAAAATAATACAATCCTTTATAATAAAATTTGTGCATGGGGGAGGAGGGGTATCCCTCAGCCCAGCCTGCACTCTCCAATCTGGAATCCCTCTCATAATCCAGGATTTCTGGCTCCCAACTTCTCACCTGTCTGCCAGCCTGATAATCCCCTAACCACTCCCCTGCCAGCCTGATCGACGCCTAACTACTCCCCTGCCCCTAACTGCCCTCCTCTGCTGGCCCAGTAACTCCTAACTGCCTTCCCTTGCCTGCCTGCTTGGTTACCCCTAACTGCCCTCCCCTGCTGGCCTGGTCGCCCCCAACTGCCCTCCCCTGCAGGCCTAGTTGCCTCTAACTGTCATCCCCTGCCTGGTTACCCCTAACTGCCCTCCCCTGTAGGCCTAGTTGCCTCTAACTGTCGTCTTCTACAGGCCTGGTTCTCTGTCCCCTCCCCCCAAATGCCCTCCCCTGCAGGCCTAAGTCCTCCCAACTGTCCTCCCTGCAAACCTGGTCACCCCCAACTACCCTCTTCTGCTGACCTGGTCATCCCTAACTGCCCTCCCCTAGAAGCCTGATTGCTCCCAAATGCCATCCCCTGCTGGCCATCTTGTGATGACAATCTTTGACCACATGGGGGTGGCCATCTTGTGTGTTGGAGTGATGGTTAATTTGCATATTACTCTCTTATTAGATAGGTAGAGCTAATATACAAATAGTCACCATGCTCTCATGCCATCATGCTGTAATGGCTCAGACATTCAACACTGAGTAGAGAGGAATGGGGACCAGCCCGTCTGCAGCCTGGGAGAGGGACAAGCCACCCATCCTGAGGTCCCCTGCGGCTGTGGCCAGCCCGGGTCCTGGGTGCCTGCGATAGGCTAGAGAAGGGAATCGTGGGTTCTGGGTGCAGAGGCATTTAGGGGCGATCTGGCAGGCAGGCAGAAGTGGTTAGGGGTGATCAGGCCAGGCAGGCAGGCAGGCAGGAGAGTGGTTAGAAGCCAGTAGTCCCGGATTGCGAGAGGCAATTGAACATCCCCCAAGGGGTCCTGGATTGGAGAAGGTGCAGGCCAGGCTGAGAGATCCCATCCCTCCTCTTTCTTTCCCCCCTCCCCCCCCCCCCGCCCTGCATGAATTTTGTGCACTGGGTCTCAAAGAGTGCTCTGGCAGAACCGGAGGCTTGGACGGAAAGCCACTTTCCCTGCTGTTCCCCAGATGTTAATAAATAAATAATGATAATACAAGAATCTCTATTTTACATATTCACAATTGTAAATTGTGAATATGTGAACCTACTTTTAAATTGTAAACCTACTTTTGCCTACCCTGTTTGTGATATCATTTGAAGAAAAACTGGAAATAGACATTCATATGAAATGTAACTATTACTACTATTCGTTAAAATTTATAAGTAATTTTTTTTTGCATCTTTATACTTTATAATTTCATTCAGTAAACATATTTGTGCTTTATAGGGAATCTAATAGGCATTGTTGTTCCTTTGTTTTTTTAGCAGTACTAATGAAGATGAGGATTTGAACCCAGAACAGAAGATAGAAAGGGAGAAGGAAAGGCGGATGGCTAACAATGCCAGGGAGCGCTTGCGTGTGCGGGATATCAATGAGGCATTCAAAGAGCTTGGTCGAATGTGTCAACTTCATTTAAAGAGTGAAAAACCCCAAACAAAACTCCTTATTCTTCATCAGGCTGTGGCAGTCATCCTTAGTCTTGAACAGCAAGTCAGAGGTAAGTAGGTTCAGCAGAGATACATACTGTTCTGCCTCAGGTGGGCAGACATTTCTGTTTTCACTCACTCTTCTCTTAGGCATATTATTTGCAAATTCAATTAGTACTTCTGCCACTGTATCATCTGGATCAAATTTTCTTTCTGGTTCTCTCACCTCTGTCTCACTGTATTGGTCAATATCTATAGGCTCAGTGCTTCACACAAACTAACAAAGAGTAATCCTGTGTAACAATGCAAAACAGCCACCCTCCTGCTGCTGCTCAGCATTATGCTTTGTGCCTCTTTGTCCTGTTGATTCTGGTGTCCAACACTCCTGAATTTACCTGCCTAGACCTGTCCTCCTGCTCCTTCTGTCTTTCCTACTTCTCTGCTCTCAGTTTCTTGCCTGCTTTACCCTGGGGACATCTACGAGGCCATGCTGTTTGATAGCATGCCTGGTCATGGCCCCTCCTGGCTTGGCCTCATATGGATGTCCTCTTTACCCATGTCAATAAGGCATCAGGACTTCTTTGTTGATCCCTGATCAGGAATGCCACGACCTTCTTGGGCTGATATGCACTGGCATGCCTGAATGACTCTACGAGCAAAAGTGTAATTATTAGGTTCATCCACTACTGACTCAGAAAGCTCCCCCAGCTGTTCAACTTCTTAAAAAGTTTGATGGAATCTTGAAGATGCTTTGAAACTTCATTTTTTTGAACAAGCATTTATTACTCTGTCCCATTCAGCTATGTGCTAGACCCTGACTTATCAATTAACACAAACCCTTGAGAGGTTCTACCATTGTTTTGTTTTTTTTAATATATTTTATTGATTTTTTTTTTTTTTTTTACAGAGAGGAAGGTAGAGGGATAGAGAGTTAGAAACATCGATGAAAGAGAGACATCAATCAGCTGCCTCCTGCACACCCCCTACTGGGAATGTGCCAGCAACCAAGACACATGCCCTTGACCGGAATCGAACCCAGGATATTTCAGTCTGCAGGCCGACGCTCTATCCATTGAGCCAAACCAATTTTTGCTCTACCATTGTTCTTGCTTTTTTGCAAACTACTTGTATATCTTTTTATCCAGAATTATTAATGCCTCATCCTAAGCCTTTTTTTCAAGAATTTATAGATATAATCTTGGGTTTCAGACTCTGCCTCTCTCTTCATTGAGAGAAATTTCGTCTGTCTTATTTATTGGATATTTGTGTAATATTTCATGTGAAGGAAGTTGGAAAAGAAAAAAGAAATAGGAGTAGACAGATGCTTGACAACTATAACCATAAAACTCCATGCACTGATTACAGGAAGAATATTCTCTTTAGTAGGGAAAGCAGAGTTAAAGAACTAGAACACACTTTCAGAAAAATATGCAGCAGTAATTTATCCACTTCCCATCAGTTTCTACAAGGGTGTTGATTTTGTTTACATGTCTAGTTTGGACACCCCCTGGACCCCCTCGAGTTTGGGAGGGCGCTCCAAGACTGTAAGAAGCTGTGCACAACCTGTCACCCCGGACAAGTGTTCTACGGGGAGGCCAGCCAGGCCCAGGCCCAGTACATCTGGGGAACAGCAGGGAAAGTGGCTTTCCCTCCAAGCCTCCGGTTCTGCCAGAGCACTCTTTGTGCCTTGGTGCCCCACATATTAAATCCTATCTGGCCCCTGCCATTGCCAATTTAAGCCTTTACCTTATTATGACTACACATTTCCTAATCCTCAGCAGATTTCACATATTACTGTCATGTTTGTACTCTCAGTTTTTACTAAAGGTTGAATTACAGATCAAGTACTTCCTCATCAAACTCTTTAACAGGGCAATGCATCAGCTCACTTCTCTTCCAGTGATAATTTAGACTCGATAGAACTATTATGATTTTAGTTTCCTGGTCTCTTAGAGAGCTTAAAGATGAGTAAACTAGGACAATGTTCCCAAATCTGATTGGTCACAGAAACTGGGGACGCTTTTCCTAAACAAATTTTCAGACCATAACCTAGTAAATTTTAATTTAGTTGCAACAGGATGGTCAAACACGGTAGTCTTAGCGTATTCATTGGTAATACTCTACTCCTTACTAAAATCCCCCCGAAATGAATAAAAATGGAATTAATTTACAAGGACAGACGGGAGATAAAAGAGCAGCTGAGATAGCAAAACTGTATTATTAAGATGGAAAGAAAGTAGAACAGTGGTAACTGACTTATTTAGACAGAAGAAATGAAGGGGAGTCTGCAGGAAAACCAGCAAGAAGCAGAGCGGGGTGCCCACAGAACCCCCTTTCCTGGCCGGCCCTGCGCTTTGGAGGTGCTGATTATTGCAACAGGCCTGACGCAGAAAAACTGATTGAAGATGTTCTATGGAAAAGTTGGATCCCTAAGTCTCTTCTCCACTTCATTTTGCTTCTGCCCTCTCTTCTCTTCCCCCATAAAAAATAGAACAGGTATTTTCTAGGGGGAAATGAAACCAGAAAGGCTGCAAATATGGATCACCAAGAAAAGCAGAGGACCTGAGAGGCAGGAAATTGAACAGTGAACCCCTCAGCCCTGTGTCCCGCTTCGCTTCCCTAATGCTGGCAGCCACGTATATTAACCCATCTTCAAAAGATTGGAGAGTTCTTTTCTAGAGAAACGAAATGCTCTTGAGCAGTGGTTCTCCACTTTTCTAATGCCACAGCCCTTTAATACAGTTCCTCATGCTGTGGTGACCCCCAACCATAAAATTATTTTTGTTGCTACTTCATAGCTGTAATTTTGCTACTATTTTGAATCATAATGCAAATATCTGTGTTTCCCTATGGTCTTGGGCTCTACAGCAGTTGAGAACCACTAGCAGGGTTGCCTGCTCTAGAGAAAAGACCTCCGGATTTAGCAATTCCTGAGTAACAATGTCTCAGTTTTGGATTACCATAGGATAAAACTCTCAGAAAGAAAAATAACAGTAATTTGCTCAGTTTAGGACCGAAGAGCTCCTGGCTCATAACTTATGACTGTAATAATAAAAATTATTTTCCTCTGTTTCAGAGAGGAATCTGAACCCCAAAGCAGCCTGCCTTAAAAGAAGGGAAGAAGAAAAAGTTTCTGCCGTATCGGCAGAGCCGCCAACCACACTACCAGGAACCCACCCTGGGCTTAGTGAAGCTACCAACCCTATGGGTCACATGTAAACATCAGCCAGGTAAGTAGGAGCATGAAAAGAGGTCACCCATTTATCTCAAATGCCTTTGGACAGAATGCTCTAGTGACACTGGTTGTGCTAAAGGTCACATGTAATTTGGAATCAGAACATTTTAGCTTTCTGTTGTACAGTCATACTTACAGAGCCAGGGTCATCTTATACCCCGTTACTACTCTCTTCAAAGTACATCCTGTGGTTTATAATAATTTGGGGGTGGGGGGGGGGTGGGGATATGGGGTTCTGTTCTGGATCATCATGAATGTCATTCTGGTCCAAGAAGAAAACAGTGCAATGACTCTTCCTCCAAAAATTACTTTTGCTACCACTTATACTCTTCATTCTCTACCGGAATTACTTAGCTTTATCGTCAACCAGTTTTCTGTTAACCATCCACCTCTTCTTTGCCATGAAATCTTCATTTGTATACAAAAATGTTACTACCTGTTTCCATTGGATCAATAATGCAAGTCGGTAATATGCATCTTTATTCCCAGAAAAAATATCAGTGATACCAATAATCTACAGATGAATGTAAATGTGTCATATATGCTAGAACCAGAATGCCCTTCTCTCTAGAATTATACTTGTTGAAAGACTGTTCTTTTATTTTCCTCTTCATGGACTAAATACAGTTTACTTCCTTGTGATTTCTTTTTAACTGAGTTGACAAAAGTAATATGAGGGTGTTGCCCATTTGAATCACCTTTTTCTTAACTATATGCATTTACGTTATCTATAATCTTAGTTGTATAGCTAATGTTTAGGTGGCAGAAATGAATGTAGACTAATTAAATATTTTGGACAGTAGCATTTTAGCTAATCATCATAGATTAGAAGTAGAACTGGTAACTTCATTTTTGTAATCTGCTTCAGCAATGGGTAGTTCTTTTCCGAGGAGATTAAAAGCAGCAAAGATGTATGAATGGGAGGTGTGGAGCAGCAAAAAAATTTTCAGTACAGTTTCATTTGATTAGCTTTATGGCTGTCATTTTGAGCTGGAAGTCTGGAATTTGATAGGATAGTTTGCAAACTACAAACACTAGTCAGTAACTCACCCTTTCCTGAAAAATATGGTTCCTAAGCCTTTCTAGGAACAAATGGACCAAAAAACTTCCTTTGGGGACAAGAGGAAGAATGTTAATGTAATTATTTAAGTGTCAATTATAATTCTAGTATTAGCACACTGGATAAAACCTAAGCCATGTCCCCTGCCGAAACCGGTTTGGCTCAGTGGATAGAGCATCGGCCTGCGGACTGAAAGGTCCCAGGTTCGGTTCCTGTCAAGGGCATGTACCTTGGTTGTGGGCACATCCCCAGTAGGGGGCGTGCAAGAGGCAGCTGATTGATGTCTCTCATCGATGTTTCTAAAGCTCTATCCCTCTTTCTTCCTCTCTGTAAAAAATCAATAAAATATGTTTTTAAAAAAATCAATAAAATATATTAAAAAAAAAAAAACCTAAGCCATGTCCCCTAACAAAAACCATCCAGCAATCAGTTTCAAAAATATACTTTGAAATTTTAAAATAAAAACATGCAACTGTTTCTTAATGCAAAAGTGACTTTCTAAATTAGCAGATCATTTTGAAGAAGTGTGATGCGAGGTCACTTCTTATGTTTATCTGTCACATTTATCTCAGAGCTTGTGTCTTATTTTTCTTGTTTCTCTCTAGTTTATTGTACCCATTTTCTCTTACTCCCTTTCCCCATTTCTCTCTCTTTAACTCTCTCCCTACCTCACATCTGTCTTACCCACTTCTGTTCACTTCCTGCTCTTTTTACTGCTTCCGTTTCTCATATGACTTTCCTATCTCCACAATGAGGAAATTCTCCCACTTAAATTAAACTTTTGAGATTCCTACTTATCAAAAAGTTTATCAAAAATTCCTTTTTTTAAAAAACATAATGTTGTAAATGCACTTTGTTTCATTAGATTTTATTGGTTAGTTTTATTATCTTAAAATAATGTCTTATAGGTTTCTAATTTCATAAAGGTAGTTGTCTAGTCTTACCTAATAACCTTCAATTCTTTATAGAACTAGGCAGCAGGTTAAAACCAGCAAGAGACTGAGCATCAGGAAAATAACTGCTAGAATCAAATTAGCTGATAAATGATCACAGAGTGAATGACTGGAAAAGCATAAGAATTTTCCACCATGTAATATAAGGCCAGGTGGCTTTGAGTATCTGTTATCCATCCCTAAGAGCATCCCTCTACTGCAAATAATACTGTGGTCATTGTTGAAAAAAGAGGTGCAAGGTATAAGTCTTCCTAAAACTATTTTCATAAAAAATGGCTAGAATGGAAAATTTTAGAGTCACTACTATCTATATTACATTAAGGATATAAATATGTGTAAAATGTGGACTATACATTTTCTTAATTCATTGAGCAAATATTTCTAGAGGTCCTACTATTGACCAGGAACTGGGATCAATGTGAAGATGAATACAAAATGGTCCCTGCCTTCAGAAATGTTCAGTTTAGAGAAGATAGGTACAAACTGTTAACACAGTGTGATTGATGGGCTGGAGGCATGGGTAGAACCTCAAAGCTCAGGTATTGTCAACTGGAATGTTGCTCAAATTAAGGTTTGCTTAATTGTCACAGCTGTTGTACAATCCTGTATTTTGTATTCTATAATCACATGATCTTCTTTAAAAATCTTACCACATCTTCAAGTAAAAGTATTTTAATTACCCCTTGAAAGAAAGAGGCTTATATAAGTCGTGTAGGAGACTGCTAATTTAGTGTAAAACTGGGTATAAGAAATGTCAGCCTTTTGGGGTCTTTGTCTGGGGAGGTGTTTATTTTAACAACGATGTGCTAATTGGTTCTGTTCTCTCCTCGGCTTTCCCTGCCACAGTTCCAGAGTTATCAGTAGGCTAGATAGAAGGTGAACTCTCCTCAGAAGGACTGGACAACTCAGATTATCTGAAGACAAACCTGATAGAAGGGAGAAGAAAAAACAAGACACTTGAAGCAAGAAACTCAAATGTAATCCTACGATCAAAGCAACTGGTCAGCACTTCATCAGAAGTGAAGATAGGAAGCTCATCGACGTGTCATTTTGTCGCAAGCAGTGTGTCGCTTCTGCACAATCAGAGATTGTCTCGATCTCTCCACTCACCGTGGAAGTTGCCTTGTGCCTAAACTGAATTGACAAATGCATTGTAACTACAAATTTTATTTATTGTTATGGAACTGTAAGGTCTACATATAAAGGGAAAAAGTTAATGTGGAAAGCTGATGCACACTCAGCTGATGCCAGCATCCGTTAGAGCTGTTCGCGTGCAGAGAACAAAGCAGTGACAACCATTGGCCCTTAGCATTCCCGGCATACCTGTTAGTGTCTTAAAAAGAAGGGAAAAGTCCTTTGTTGCCCTGTCCTGTCCTTTTGCCATATGAATATTTTTTCATAAAATAGGAAAATACTACTTGGTATAGCTTTTCTCTCGCTTTCATTTTTTCATTCAGTTTTCTTTTCTCTTGGAGGGTGTTATATTTGGTCTCTGAAATGGAGTAGTTTATGGTCATAGTCCAGAATCCTCCGTGTAGCCCTCTGTGCTTTGCCTATTTACCTTACAAAGATAAGCAGAGACCATCTGTGACCATAACTTCACTTTGATTTTGAAAGGGGAAATTCTGTCCCCTAGATTTCCCCCAAAATACATATTGCTTTATTTCTAATAATAACCAAGACTTTTCAAGCTTCTAGGTTTCATAGTAAAGCTTGTGATAGCAAGAAGTGTAAATTACAAGGGAAGAATCTACTATTTAGAAATTGCTTTGTTTTTCAAGAGCAGTAAGTACTACATACAATACTTACAAAGAGTTAGCTATAAGTAAGCACAAAACGGATTTAAAATACAAAGATTTCAGGCTGTGGTTATGGTGACCATAACAAACCCAGTAGTCACCAAGGCGGGTAGTGTGATAAATGAACACACCGCTCTGAGGCTGGTTACTTACGGGATACAAGAGCAGCGGTCACCCATGCTTCCTTTTCCCCGCCTTTATTTTTCTGCCGTTTGGGTGGGTGGGCAGTGGGGAAGAATTCCGTGGGTGACTTAATCAGCTGCAAACCACCCGCCCCGCCCCAAGAAGATGAGCCAGATTAGCATTAAACCAGTGCTTGTCAGTCCATCGTAACGCTGTGCACTGACGCACCCCTGTCGCTTACCCTTAAGAGTTTTTTTTGTCAGACATAATAAGCACTTTGAACTTCCATGAAATCTGTCTTCCACCACAACTACCCTGGGAGAGAAAAACATGCTAACAAGGTTGTCTTAGCTTAACAATTCCTTATCGCCAGTACCAACAGTGGCAATCAGCACACAGAAGAAAGGACCCAAATCACTATGTAGCTGAAAGATTTCTGTTCATTTGAAAGAACAAAACCGGGACAGAACTTCAGATCCTCCAATCAGGATGATTCCTAACAAGTCAGTCTTTTGTGAACTTAGTGGACTTTTTAGTTACTTTAATTTGCATATACTCTCAATTACATCGGACTCTCTCTGTGGCCTTGTTCTTCATTTCAGTGTTAATCAGCTAAACAGAAATTGTTGCTTATGATGTGTGAGTGAACACAGGCCACTGCCTGGCCTTTTCCTTCAGAGCTTGTTGTCTTTTTCGCTATATTAGACTTTGCAGTATGCCCAGAAGCTTTCCTTCATAAAATAGAGAGAAAAAAACATTTGGCTTATTTTTCACTGTAGCTAGTCTTTTATACAATAATCTTGTAAGAAAATTTCTTGAATTCTAAATATTACTCTTTCTAGATTTTTGAAATCAAAAAGTTTTCAGTAAAAAGTTTCTTACTTTATTTTATTATATTAGGTAGTAAAAATGTAGGGTTATTTACCATAACCTGTTCATTAATATCAGAAATTTACAATAGCATTTTAAGACCATAGTAGGACTCTAGCATACCGTGTAGTACCTATGGAGTATTGTAAGAGCTAATTGTCCGAGATGAATTGCTTCTC